GAACCCAGACAAACCCAGAAAACTCTAACACTGTGTTTGTGGTGTGTACTCCACTTATAACTATAATATAAAGCCCAAAAGACAAACCTATCAAAACCAAAATCGCTACCGACACCTATTAAGAGATAAGCAATATGAAAATATCTAAATTGAGGCTACATAAAGTCAAAATGTGGAGATTATAAAGTCAAAGTGTAAGGTTTTTAGATTTTTTTCATTCTTTCTATTCTTTGTGATCTAAGTTTTTATTGCTTTAAAATAACTTGTTATATTTTTTGCTATCCTGATAGTAACCACCATGCCAAAACCTATAACAGATTCACTAAAAAAGGAAGTCACAGCCAGGTACAGTGGCTCATGCCTGTAATCCCAGCCCTTTGGGAGGCTGAGGTGGATGGATCACCTGAGGTCAGGAGTCCAAAACCAGCCTGGCCAACATGACAAAACCCCGTCTCTACTAAAAATACAAAAATTAGCTGGGTGTGGTGGTGGGCACCTGTAATCCTAACTACTCGGGAGGCTGAGGCAGGAGTTCTGGGCTTGAACCCAGAAGGCAGAGGTTGCAGAGAGCCGAGATTACACCATTGCACTCCAGCCTGGGTGACAGAGGAAGACTCCATCTCAAAGAAAAAAAAAAATAACAAAGGAAGTCACTTAAGCACAAAAGAAGACAGTAAAAGAGGGAGAAAGGAAGAGAGAAATTAAAAATAACTAGAACATAGCAACAAAGTGGCAGTAGTAAGTCCTAACCTATCAACAATAACACTGAATGTAAATGGACTCAATTCCCCAACCAAAAGACATAGAGTGGCTGAGTGGATAAAGAAACAAGACCCAACTATATGGTGCCTTCATGAAACTCACTTCACCTAAACAGACACCTATAGACTAAAAGTGAAAGAGTGGAAAAAACATTTTATGCAACTGGAAACCCCAAAAAAGCAGGAAAAGCTATATTTAGATAAAATAGACTAGAAATCAAAGACTTTAAAAGCCGACAAAGGTTATTATAATGATAACGGCATCATTTCAGCAAGAGAATGTAACAATTATAAATATATGTGCACCCAATGCCAGAGCTCCCAAGTGCATACAGTGAACATTAATAGATGAAAAGGGAAATATAGACCGCAACACAATAAAAGTTGGGGATTCTACTCTCCAATCTCAGTAATGAACAGATTCTTCACACAGAAAATCAATAGATTTAAACTACACACAAGACCAAATAGGCCTAATTGATATTTACAGAGCATTTCATCCAACTGCTGCAGAATACACATATTTTTCATCAGCACATGGAACGTTCTCCAGAAGAGACCATATCTCATGATAGAAAACAAGTTTCAACTAAATCAAAAAAGTAGAAATCATATCAAGTATGTTTTCTGACCACAATGGAATAAAAGGAGAAATCAGTAAAAAGAGAAACCTCAGAGAATACACAAACACATGGAAATCAAACAGCATTTTCCTGAATGACCAGTGGGTCAGTGAAGAAATTAAGAGAAAATTTAAAAATTTCTTGAAATAAATGAAAATGGAAATACAACATACCAAAATCTATGGAATACAGCAAAAGCAGTAGTAAAATGGAAATTAATTACAATAAATGTCTACATCAGAAAAGTAGAAAGACTTCAAATAAACAATCTAATGATACACCTCAAGGAACTAGAAAATCAAGAACAAACCAAACCAAAATTAGTAGAAGGAACAAAATATAAAGGTCAGAGCAGAAATAAATGAAATTGAGACTTAAAAAAATACACAAAAATCAATGAAACAAAAATATAGTGTTTTGAAAAGATAAACAAAATCAACAAACTTTTGGCTAGACTAAGAAAAAAAGAAAGAAGACCCCAAGAAATAAAATCAGAAATAAACAAGGAGACATACCAACTAAGACCACAGAAATGCAAAGAATTAGGGATGATTATGAGCAACTATAAGCCAACAAATTGTAAAACCTAGAAGAAATGAATAAATTCCTGGACACATACGACCTACCAAGATTGAACCATGAAGAAACAGAAAAATAATGAAGGCCTGAACTAGAACATGAGAATAGAGAAGAGAGATCACATTTGAGAAGCAAGCCAAATTGTCGTGTGATTGATGTGGAGGAGTCGAAGCAGACAGAGGATTCTGGCATGGGTGTCCAGGTGGAAAACCAGGCAAGGGGGCTGCAGTGGGGAGATAATCCATTCCTTGTTGGAGATCTGGGGATTGAAGTGCCTTTTTAACAATGAAGACAACTAATACGTAGTGTAAAGTGTAGGCCTAGGAATATAGTCAAGACAGAAGACAGGTTTGGTATCGATGGATGTCTTCATCTTCAGAAAGTTCTGTTAGAATAAGGAGACAAAACATAAGGACCATTTAAGAAATCAAGAGGCAGAGAGAAGAAAAGGAGTCTCCACAGAAAACGGAGAAGCAGCAGCTTAGGGTGATAAGATAAAAACTATGGGTTCAAGCCCCTGGAAAACATGCAGTGTGCTCTTTAGATCACCAGGGGTCCCTGTGCCCTGGCTCATCAGAAAGACTCAAATACACTGGAAAAAGGAATCATGAAAAGCAGGAAAGAGGGAGGGATGGAAGGGAGCTTGGAAGGAGTGAACTGGTTAACAGTAAAACTACAAATGTAGCAAGAAAGATAGTGATAGCTAAGAATCCAAAACACATTTTATTTCATCTTATTTATTTTTTGAGACAGGCTTTTCCCCTATCATCCAGGCTGAGGTGCAGTGGCATGATGATAGCTCACTGCAAGCTCAAACTCTTGGGCTCAAGAGATCCTCTTGCCTCAGCCTCTCAAAGTGCTGGAATTACAGGTGTAAGCCCCCACACCCAGTCTGAAATGTATTTTATTAACATGCCAGACACTGTTTTGACCAGGTTCCATAGCTTAATTTAGTCAATTCTTATGACATCCTTGTAAAGTAAGGATTATTATTATCCACACTTTACAGATGAGAAAATGAGGCACAGAGAGGTGAACTTCCCTAAAGTGACACAAGAAATCAATGAGAAGGGCAAGATTGAAACCCAGTCGTCCAGCTTCAAAGCCGACATTTGCACAGATAGAGGAGTGTACTTTGTGAGGGAATTTAAGTGTAGGCGATTTCAATGGAGTGGCAGCTTCGTGGCCTGGGAAGGTGAAAGGAAGGCGGGGAAGTAGAGAGAGCAAAGGTAAACTGCTTTTGCAAGGAGCTTAACTGGGAAAAGAGAAGGATAGACTAGTAGCTGGAAGGGAACATAGGAGTGACAGAAGCTGTTTTGTGTTTTTAATGAGCAAGTCTGGAGCATGTGGGCTTGATACATTCTGTTTACATTACACTGTAGAATTTGCTCAAGGAAAACGAGGGGGTTGGATGAAAAGTTACAGATTCCTTCCAGCTCTGAGTCTACTATTCCACAACTTTAAAATTCTTTCTCAGTGAAGCCAGATGGAAGATTTCACTTGATAAAATTAGTTGGAAAAATCATTTACTACACTTTTAAAGAGGTATTTAAATAGATACCCAAAGACCTATTTATTCTAATATCCTTTTAATTCATGAGCTTTTAATGTTTTCCCAAGCTGGTCTGTGACATTTCTTGGCCTAAAGAGAAATTTAAGTTTTTATTGTCTTTAGATTTGGCCTAAATACATATTTCTGCTTTCCTATCTAAGGTTAGGAAAGGAGTCATGGTCATCTTGGGTTCATATTCGTTTTCTCCATCACCTTTTCCTTTCTGTACTCTGCCCCTCTTTCCACATGAAAAAAAAAAAAAAAGTGCAGGGGTTTATGAAAAAAAAAAAAAAAAAAAAAAAAAAAGGCCATGTTTCTTTCACAACACATCTTAAACTAATGTAATCACTAGTGAAGGTGTTTTCTGCAATTTTCTGTCTACTAAATATCCCATGAAACACCTCAGCTTTCTCCTTACCTGGTATCTTTCACTTATGCTAAGCTTTCTCTTTTCTCCTTCTCTTCCTATGAGCAAGAGAGAAAGACAGACTGGTAGCTGGATAGGCTAGTAGCAATGGATGCATGTTAATCCCAGAAATGACTCCGAGCCTCATTTTCTCTCTACATCACTGCACAAAGCCCTTTCTCAGCACGCGTGCTTCAATTATACATATTCCTATTTTTTTCATACTTTTTGCACTTTTTTTTATCTCCAGTTGCTCCTTTTCCTATCCATACGTCTGTTTTCAATTATCCCCTAGTAGGGCTATAAGAAAGGGAGAGATTGGCTGCAAAAAATATAGAACTCATTTTTTTCCAGCTTTCAGATATGTTTTGGCACCTACCAAAATTGGTACATACTCAGTTTTGGAAATTCACAATACTTCAAACAAAGTAACGTTGCAATGGGAAGACTCATCTCAAAAGGAATTAGGGAGCTATTCACTTAGCGAATCTTTGCTCCTTGCTCATTTCTATTCTGGGCACTCCTCCATACGATGGATGAATAGCATTATCTCTCAGACAAATGCAAATAATCTTCATCGAGAGATCTTTATGTTTTCCTCTGAAGTATGATATCTTTCTAACTCACAATTCCCTGGAGCAAGGTGAAAATTAAAGTATTTCAGGTTCAAAGGTGTTCTCTCTGAAACCCTGATGAGCTACCTTCGGACAAGAATGAGAATAAACAGGGATGGTGATGATATTCTAAGTGGATCAGGTTATAATGTTAATAAGTAGGAAATAAGATGTGGCTGCCTAGTATCAATAATTGATTTATTCACATTTTCCCTGACACATGTTAATCCAAATCCCAGCATTCATAATAGTAGTTACTGTATTTTGGCAGGCATATATGTACCAAGCTGAGATGAACAGAGCACAAATAATTCTGTCAGTACTGTAGCCTATGCTACAGTGGCACCTCATTATAAAGAGATCTAAAACATTTTTGTGACAGCAGGCAACCCTTCCGTAGAAATAATAGAAAAAGTCTCAGTATCTCTAAATCTAAATAATGATTTACACCCTTTATCATTACAGGATGGGCTTTTGGAACTATAAAATATTGTAGAATGCTCAGCAGTAACCTGGACAACCTAAGTACTTCTCTATATAATTGAGCCACATTTTCAAATATTAACAGCCCTGATGATTCCAAACCAACGTAATTAGCTTAATTAAGTATGCTTTCCTCCATCTTATTCTTGGTAAAAAATATTTTTACGTTATTTAATATGATTAAAAAGCCATTCCTTTGTTCTACTTCTTATTTTTATTTTTTTCTTAGTTAATCAAGAATACCGAAAGCCTAATTTTTAAACCAGGAAAATGTTCCTGGAAACATTTCAATTTTCAGGAAATTGGTTCCCTAAGAATATGGAACATTTTAGCTTGAAACAATTAATTAGCAAATGACCAAGGCAAATGCTTTTTATTAAATTTTACTTCTATTTTTACAAGGGCTAAAAAAACTAAAATATGTGCTTTGTACCATCTAATAGTTAAAATTCATCTGTATGTAAGAACGTGAGTCTTCTATAAAAGAAAACATTTTCTCTAAATGAGTTTTTGAATGAATCAATTTCCTCTATTACTGGGTCCCAATAGTTTCTGAGTTTTTGACAAGTCTTGTCTCCTAGAGTTTCTGATACTCTTTCCAAATGTGTAGTGGGAAGGAGCTTCTCTTTGCTTTTTCTGGGAGAAAAAGCCAGAACTCTCACACTGCAGTTCTCTCTCCTGACCTCCTGTCCTTCCTCACTCTTAGCTCCCAGAACTCCTGCCAAAGGTTACCAACTGGTTTTAACCCAATTCTAACTTTTCGACTGAGGCCTTGGAGAGGCAACCTAGACTTTTTAAACTTTGTTCTTTTGTTTCATAAAACACAAGATTAAAAGATTATTATAAAATATTGCCATTGGAACACCTAAATGGCCTTGGCCATGCTTACATTTGGCAGAATCCATGAGAGCACTGTGGTCCCAAGGCCCTTTAAGAGGTGGAGTGTTATTTCTTAAATGGATTTGGACCATATGCAATACATATAAGAAAGCTGCATTTTCTCGCCACAGTGGAAAACATCTGTTTTGCTAGTGAATTTGACTCTATTGCCAGAGTAACTTTCCAGATGTTTTGAAACTCTAAACAACTGCATCCTTTCTGATCTGCTCTGGTTCAAAAATTGATTTGCTAAGAAAACACATAGGTCTGTGACATAAATGAAAACAATAATATTTATCTTAACTAATCCATATTACCAAAACATTTTAGACATGGCCTTGGATTAATGGTATAACGTAGATTACTTTCCTTTCTAAAACATGCATACAGACATGTATATACATAGGCTCTTGGAAGGGAATACAGTGCAAACAATCATTCCCAATCCCTTCAGTGTAAATAACTGCTGCTGGTAGACCATTTATGCTCCTGTCATTTTCTCAGCTTTTACTGGCTTAACTTAAAGGGTACCCTGGTAGGATATAAGCATGCCCAGCACATATTTAATCCTCTCCTCTTTAATGACTCCTGTACAGCATGCAAAGTATTTGACATTATCTCACTTTCAGCCTTCTGTAGCACCTACGTTAGCTATTTCTTCCCAGTTAGCCACTAGCTACTGTTTTGTTGTCATTGTTTTTTGTTCATTTAATGTTGACATTATTTGAAGAAATGATTTTTATTTTTTTTTCATACTCAACTGCCAAACAATACAATATTTCTTTTTTCTACCTCACTATATCTCATGATTGTACTTTGTGATCTTTATCCTAACCCTGTTTGAATCTAAACCCTCTATGTTTTTGTTCCATTTATGTTCTAACTCCTTGACTTTTTCAAATACTCAGCTTTTCCTTTTCATTCTTTACAAAGTCTTTCAGCAGATCATACTCCCATTTCTGCTATGATCCAGAAATGCAAATGTTTGAAAGGCAAATTCTAAGTTGAACAGAACGAACCTATTGTGTATTCAAGTTCAGTATGTATTTTCACTTACAAATATTTGCCAGCCTTTTGTATGTGTCTTCATTTCACATTATACCTAAGTTTCTAAACGCCAAGACTCTGCTTTGAGTATTTCTTTAGATTCTAAAGTTGGTCAGTCATTTCTAATAAGCACACTTTTTTTCATTCATGCTCTAGAATGTAGTCCACATCTTGTTCACCTTCATATTACCAGTGCCTAAAGCAGAGAATCTGGCAGACATTCATTTACCATTTATGGAATAACTCTAACATTTGCTTGGCAGGGATTTTATGTCTCGGGCACAGTGCTAAGCATAGATTATATGCGATGTCCTGTGATCTCAACAACTCTGGGCAGTAGACATTATTATTCCCATTTTACTCTTAAGGAAACAGAAACTCAAGAAAAAGGGAAACTCTACTCATGTACAAATTTACATTGATAGACAGTTGCTCTGTCTATCAATTATTTAGCTCCAAAGGCAGGCTCTTTGAATAACACGAAAAACAAACTTAAGCCATACAAATACTTTTCTTTCCCATTTTCCTCTATCATGGCTGGTCCCAGAGAAAACTTTAAAGTAGAATTGATTTTTCCGTATATCTTTTCTTTCCCCTTAATACCTAACTTTCAGTGCCCAAATCCTTTGACTTATCCTTCCAACCAACCTCAGAAACTTCTATTATGGACACTTCCTCCCTCATCCAGGGTCTACCTGCCATGGTCTGTATCCCCACCTATCTTCAGTCATGCTAAATTCTGGTTTTTCCCTTCATCAAATCTTGGGTCTTATTGTTTCATAATCTTTGAGCTTCTGAGATTGAAACATTGTTTATTAGGCATGGTGTGGTGGCTCACGCCTGAAATCCCAGCACTTTGGGAGGCTGAGGCAGGCAGATCACAAGGTCAGGAGATGGAGACCATCTTGGCCAACATGGTGAAAACCCCGTCTCTACCAAAAATACAAAAATTAGCCTGGCGTGGTGGCACGAGCCTGTGGTCCTAGCTACTCAGGAGGCTGAGGCAGAAGAATCACTTGAACCCAGGAGGCAAATGTTGCAGTCCGCCAAGATCGCGCCACTGCACTCCAGCCTGGCTACAGAGCAAGACTCTGTCTCAAAAAAAAAAAAAATTATCTGCCCATTTTATGGGCAAAAAATGTCTTTGTAATGACTGTAATCAAAATAAATGAACTTAAATTGGACTGAATAGAAGCTTAGGGCAGCGCCTTGGCAGGATCCTCATCGTACACCTCCAATCAGACTTCGCTGCACTAGGCTGACATCTATCTCCTAAGAAGAATCCTGGTTGAAATACACAATGGCTACAAATTTTCTTATGTAACTTCCATGTTGAAGCCAGCATCAGAATTAAATCCAATGGTAAGGTCTAAAAGTGAAAAAAGAAACTACCAGCAAACTCATTAATTATTAAGTCTGTTAAATCACACACACACACACACACACATACACGCACACACACAAGGGTACAGTCATTGGGAATTATGATGTCTGTTTTTTGCATACTTCTGTAATATGTTTATTTTTATTTTTATTTTTTTTCAGATACAGGATCTAACTCTATCACCCAGGCTGGAGTGCAGTGGTCCAATCATAGCCTACTGCAGCCTCGAACTCCTGGGCTCAAGAGAGTCTCTCACCTCAGCCTCCTGAGTAGCTGGGACCACAGGTGCACCACCACACCTGGCTAAGTATTTTTATATCTTAGAGATGAGGGTCTTGCTATGTTTCCCAGGCTGGTCTTAAACTTCTGGCCACAAGTGATCCTCCTACCTCAGCCTCCCAAGTCACTGGAATTACAGGAATGAGCCACCACACCAGGCTAACAAAGAAATTTAAATACATTGACTTATGGCTGGGCAAGGTGGCTTACCCCTGTAATCCCAGCACTTTCGGAGGCCAAGGTGGGAGGATCACCAGCAGTCAGGAGTTTGAAACTAACCTGGCCAATACGGTGAAACCCTGTCTCTACTAAAATTACAAAAATTAGCCAGGAGTGGTGGTGGGCACCTTTAATCCCTGCTACTCGAGAGACTGAGGCAGTAGAATTGCTTGAACCCAGGAGACGGAGGCTGCAGTGACCTGTCGCACGTCTGCACTCCAGCCTGGGTGACAGAGTGAGACTCCATCTCGAAAAAATAAAAAATAAAAAAGTATAATAAATAAATAAATACAATGCCTTAATCATTAATTCAGTTAACAAATAGTTATTGAATACGTACTGTATAGAAGGCACAAAAGAGAGGTTACAATTCAAAAGGCAATATAAATCACGTTTACAAATGATTAAAATGTAAAGCACATAAGATGAAAGGACAAAGTATTTTGAGTTAGAGTAGGGAAGGATTATGAGCAGCTAGCAGAATCAATGGTGATTTTGACATATTAATCTTTATATTTTACTTATAGGCATAATAACCAAAGTATTTAAACATGTGCTATTTTTCAGGCATTGTGTAGGCAGTTTATAGCACTACTGAATCAATTAAAATTGCTTTTGGCTGTAAGTATCAAAATACTCTATTACAACTTGGTTAAACAGTAGTGAGACATTTAGTTATTTCACTCAAAAAGATGTCTGGAGGCAAGCAGTTGAAGAATAAGGGAAATGATTCAACAATGTCACAAAGGACATGGGTTCTTTCCATCCTTCTCCTCTGCCAATTTTGTGATTGTGGGATGACTAGGGGACTTTCTCTAGAATCGTGTATGACACCTCTTCATATATATATGTACAATACAATTATGAAGATACAGAAGCTTTAAAAACAGTAAGAAATGAGGTACTCTCTTCAAGGGCCTAGCTCTGTTACATGGGAGGAGATCTTTTCCAAATGTCCCCAGCTAACTTCCCCAGGTCTCTTTGCCTAGACATGGTTCACATACCCATGCCTTGAGCAATCGATGATGAAGGAGAAGAGGACTGCCATAATGTAGTAACCACCACACACAATGCTTCTCTACCATCGCCCAAGACTCCAGGATAAATAAGCAACATGTTTGCATTGATAATGGAACTTTATTGCTTTTCATACAATTATTATTATTATTATTTGACACAGAGTCTCACTCTGCTGCCAGGCGCCAGGCTGGAGTGCAGTGGCACAATTTTGGCTCACTGCAACCTCCACCTCCCAGGTTCAAGCAATTCTCCTGCCTCAGCCTCCCTAGTAGCTGGGATTACAGGCACTCGCCACCATGCCC